AAAAAAAAAAAAAAAAAAAAAAAAAAAAAAAAAAAAACAAAGATTATGAAGTAGTGCTTGAAATTTGTCTGGAACATTATTTAAAAGGAAGAACTATGGGCCGGGGTTGTAGCTCAGTGTTAGCATGCTTGCCTAGCACATGTGAGGCATTGGGTTCAATCCTCAGTACCACATAAAAATAAATAAAATAAAAGTATTATGTCTATCTACAACTAAAAAATTATTTAACAATAAAAAAAGGAAGAACTATAAAAACATTCTTGGGACAATTCCGGAAATATAAACATGTTCTGGATGTTAGCTAATAGCATGATCATATTACAGTGGTTATGTAGAAAAATATAAGTGAATTCTGAAAAACTTAAAGAGAAAAGTATTGGCAGCTTATTTTGAAATGATTCACCAAAAAAAGTACATGTGTGTATGTTTTCATATTTATTCAAAGATATAGCAAAGATGGCAAAGTATAAAAACTTTCATAAAAATAAATGCTATTTATTATTTCCTGACTGATTCTCATAGTCTGCTGAAGGATCATAAAGTTAAGTATGAAAAACACATAAAAGGTAATGTTCACATAGATTTTTCCATAATTGGAGTATTTTTCTGGGTCATCTAACATCACATTGGGATGGGGGTTTCTGGCAATTGAACCCAGGACCTTGTTGCATGCTAAACATATATATATATATATATATATGGGACTAGGCATTGAACCCAGGGGTGCTTTACAACTGAGCTACATTCCCAGGCCTTTTAATTTTTCTTTTGAGACAGGATTTCACTAGGTTGCTTAGGGTCTCACTGAATTTCTGAGGCTATCCTGGAACTTGTGATCCTCCTGCCTCAGACTCCCTGGTGTACACTTACAGGTGTACACCACCAGACTCAGCAAAACTTGATATTTATATTTTTCTCATTCTCTTCCTAAATTTTATCTTCTCTTCATTGAAATCTTTATTAATATTTTACTTTTCTATACATAAACTAAAAAGCCATAGTCTTATTTTTTATCATTTGATGGATATTATTATAGATATGTGGGGGAGCTAGACTACAAGCAAAGGAAAATAATATTTTTGGTAATATGGTCAACTTCAACTTCAGCCAGTTCTCCAACAGTGTGTGATTACAAATGCAGACCAACGGCTTTTTTTAGGGGGGGGGGCGGTTCAGGGATTGAACTCCGGGCACTCAACCACTAAGCCACATCCCCACACATCCCCAGCCTTTTTTTTTTTTTTTTTAATTTCAAAACAGGATCTATGCTGAGTTGCTTAGCACCTCATTGCTGAGGCTGGCTTTGAACTCACAATCCTCCTGCCTCAGCCTCCCAAGCTGCTGGGATTACCGGCATGTTCCACTGTGCCCAGCCCAATACCATTTTTAATATTTTTTTCCTTGTTTTGGGGTTTGATTGTTTGTTTTAGAAATGTCAGCCAATTGAGAAAAAATAAAGAAAGGAGTACTCAGAGACCAATAATTATATGAGGATCTACAAGTTAAAGTGGAGCACTAGAGTCAGCTTTCATCTTATAACAGGACAAAGTCCAGAGCCTGAACATATTAGGAATCTTGTTAGGAAACATTGTCAAATAAAGTTGGACCCTTGGGGCTGGGGATGTGGCTCAAGCGGTAGCGCGCTCCCCTGGCATGCGTGCGGCCCGGGTTCGATCCTCAGCACCACATACAAACAAAGATGTTGTGTCCGCCGAAAACTAAAAAATAAATATTAAAATTCTCTCTCTTTCTCTCTCTCTCTCTCTCTCTCTCTAAAAAAAAAAATTATTAAAAAAAATAAATAAAGTTGGACTCTTAAAGGACTATACTTTCAATGAAACTGGTTTGTTGTAGTTCATCCAAATGTAAAATTTCTGCCCATCAGAATAAGGGAAAATACTATCAATACATGTTTTGACAGAAACCTTATGTCCAGAGTATATAAACAACTCCCCAAATTACTAATAAAGACAATCAACCCAGTAATAAATGAGCAAAAGAGTTGGGCCCTTAACAAGTATGATATACAAATGATTAGTAAGTACACAAAAAAAATTAGAACGTACTAATTGTAAAGCAAATGTAAATTTAATGCAATTTTAAACCATAATTCTTACACTCTAGAAAGGTTAAACTGAGACTGATACCAACTGGTATTGGTTAGGATGTAAGACAATTAGAAGTCACACATTTCTGATGGAAGTATAAGATGGAACAACAGTTTGACAGTTTCTTATAAAGTTAAATATTCATCACTTACTGGCCTTTTGACTTAAGATCAAGTATAAATTTAGATGTTTAGTTATCATATGATTTCCTATATATTTACCTAAGAAAAGTAAAGCCAGTGCGGTAGCACATGCTTTTAATTTCAGCAACTCAGGAGGCTGAGACAGGAGTATCCAAAGTTCAAGGCCAGACTAATCAACTTAGGAAGATTCTGTCTCAAAATAAAAAGGGGCTGGTGATGTAGGTTGGTGGTAGAGTGCCCCTAGGTTCAGTACACATGATACCATTAAAAAAAAAAAAACAGAAAAGAAAGGAAGGAGAAAGGGAAATAAGTAGTTGGAAACATCAATTCTCAGAAAGACTTAGACATTTTTATACCTTGTACATTTTATAATTGTATAGCAGCTTTAATTCACAATAGATAAAAACTGGAGATAACTGTGATTAATAAACTGATGTTCACACAGTGACATATTCCTCAGCAGTTAAATTACTCAGATATGTACAGCATGTATGAATCTTAGCAACACATAAATATCAAAATAAAGAATGTTGGAGCTGGGGTTGGGGCTCAGTGGTAGAGTGCTCACCTAGCATGTGCAAAGCCCTGGGTTTGATCCTCAGCACCACATAAAAATAAATAAATAAAATAAAGGCATTGTGTCTAACTACACCTAAAAAATAAAAAAAAAGAAAGAAAGATTGTTAAGTTAAAAGGAGCCTAACACAAGAGAAACATACTGTGTGGTTCCCTTTATAAAGTTTGAGAACAGGTAGAAGTAATCTATTAGTGATAAATATAGAAAAGTGTTTGCCTTTAGTAAAGGGTGGGGATTGACAGACGACCTTTTTGGGGATGTAGATAGTTGTATCTTGGTTGACATGATTACACAAACTTGTACTTTTATCCAGATCTCATCAAACCAGGTGCAGTAGCACATGCCTATAATCCAGCAACTCAGGATGCTGAGGCAGCAAGATCACAAGTTTGAGGTTAGCCTCAGCAACTTAGCAAGGCCCTAAGCAACTCAGTGAGGTACTGTCTTAAAATATAAAAAGGGCTGGGGATGTGGCTCAGTGATTAAGCACCCCTGGGTTCAATCCCCAGTACCCCAGAAAAGAAAAAAACCTCATTGGTTTCACACTGAAGATCTGTACTTTCAATATACATTTTTGTTTTTTTCAAAACTTGGGTCATTTGGTAAAGACTAATAATAACCAGGCGAGTTTTCCATTTACTGAATGTCAGTTAAGAGAGTTCTACGGTATTTTAGGTGGAAGGAATGTAATCAGATATGGTAGTCTAAGAAGGAATTAAAGTAGTAAATAAATGAGTAAACCTAAACAACATTAACTGTATATAACCCAAGTAAAACTGTATTTTTTCATGGCTGGGGATGTAGCTCAGTGGTATGGTACTGGCATTGTATACTCAAGGCTGTAGGCTCAATCCCCAGCACCATACACACACACACACACACACACACACACACACACACACACAAAGGTAATCTGGAGCTTAAAAAGTTTAATAGTGGACAAAAGAGCATAAAAATCAGAAGGAGGGGATTGGGCATATAGCTCAATTGGTAGAGTACTTACCTCACATACACAAGGCCCTGGGTTCAATCCCCAGCACCACCAAAAAAAAAAAAAAAATCAGAAGGATGTTCATCAGTATTAATATAAGGGCTCTACTTTGTTCCAGAGGATAGTATCTTTACTAACTTTAGACATTAATCAGTTTAAGTATACATGATTAGATATAAAATTAAAAGTTTCTCCAGCTTCCAAAGTAGAGAAACAAAAGGAAGGCAAAATAATCCAAAAGAAGAAAGAGGAGAAATTAGAAGATGGAAAAAATGCAAAGCCAAAATTAAATTAGCAGAAATAAATCTAAGTATATCAGAAATGACAACAGACTAAGCTGGGCAATGTTCCAACAACTTGGAAGACAAGGCAAAAAGATTACAAATTTAAGACCAACCTCAATAACTTAGCAAGATCTTGTATCAAAATAAAAAGAATTTGGATGTAGCTCAGTAGTATAGCACCCCTGAGTTCAATCTCCAGTACCAAAAACAAAAGAAATTATAACAAATTAAATCAAATGATTCACTTGAAATAACTTTGTAAGACTGGGAATGTAGTGCAGTGATAGAGCACTTGCCTAGCATATTTGAGGCCTTAGGTTCAGTCCCCAATACCATAAAAATTAAGATTGTCAAACTGGATTAAATACAGCTATGTAGTGTTTATAAAAATCATCCAGAACATCATGTGTAAACACACACCTATTATCCTAGCTCCTCCGGAGGTTGAAGCAGGAAGATCACAAGTTTGAGACCAGCCTTGGCAACTTGGCAAGTCCTTGTTTCAAAACAAATAGGGCTGAGGGTGTAACTCAGTGCTTGCCTAGCATGCTCAGCCCTGAGTTCAATCTCCAGTGCCACAAAAAACAAACCCTCCAGCCAGGTATAATGGCACACAAACCTGTAATCCTGGAGCTCGATAGGCTGAGGCAGGAGAATCATAAGCTCTAGGCCAGTCTAAACAATTTACTAAGACCCTGTCTCAGAATAATATTTTAAAACGGCTTGGGAATGTATCTCAGTGGCAAAGTACCACTGTGTTGATCCCCAGTGCCAGACAATGAAAAAAATCCTGTAAAACTTAAAGATACTAAAAATTGACTTGGGGTCACAGTACATACTGGGCATTGAACCCACGATCACTTTACTACTGAGCTATATCACCAGGTCTTTTTTTTATTCAAATGTATATATGTATGTATATATAGATATATATATATGTGTGTATATATATATATATATATATGTTAAAATATGCAAAATGAAATGTATATTTTAGGAATTCAGAGGGTCATAGCCAATAGCCAACAACCCTTCTAACAAAAAATGGTTAGCAAGAAAAAAAGCATAACAGATTTATATGAGGATAGTTTTATAGTGAACCAAGCCTTCAAATTAAAGATACAAATGGTAAACTATCCATTTTTTTTGCTTAGGTTCAGTGAACCCATGTACATCCTTGTAGAACTGTGGTTGGACAAAAAGAATTATCAAACAGTAATAAATGAGGGAGGTAGGGGGAACCTAGCAAGGCCTGTCTGTTTAGATTCTTCTTGGCCTCTTTGAGCAACATTCTTTCCTTCCAAATATGGGACAACACCTTTTCCAGATGGAGATATTATGATCTACTCAAATATGTAGCTCAGAATTTTTTTTTCTTTGCTAATATATGTTTAGGTTTTATGATTGACTTTGGGGAAAACAAGGGTTCTGGTTACTGTGATCTGTCTTAGGGAAGGGGAATTCTAGTTTCTAAGGCCTTCATTGATGGAGAATTGGGGAATAAGAAACAGGAGGACAAGAAGTCAGGGAAAATTTTTGCTTCTGAGACCTTTACTTTGGGGTATCATTTTCAGAGACTCAACGTTAGAAAGACATGTAATTCAGTAGCTATTAACTTCTGAAGAGAAAAGAAGAGATAAGATCAGGGAGAATTAAGAACAGGATTTTTTTTTTAGTTGTAGATGGACACAATACCTTTATTATTTGTTTTTATTTTTATGTGGTGCCGGGCATCAAACCTAGTGCCTCACGCATGCTAGACAAGCACTCTACTACTGAGCCACAACCCCAGCCCCAAGAACAGGTTTTAAAGGTAATGCTGGGAGAGGTTTTTTTTGTTGTTTTTTTCTTTTTTTAGGTACTAGGGATTGAACCCAGGGGATCTTAACTACTGAGCCACATCCCCAGCCTTTTTTATTTCTATTTTAGACAGGGTCTTTCATCACTAAGATGCTGAGGCTGGCTTTGAACTTTCGATCCTCCTGCCTCTGTCTCCCAAGCCGCTGGGATTACAGGTGTGTGCCACCACACCCAGCAGAATGGAAAACAAGAGGGCAAGAGTTATTCTGAGTTATAATTTATCTCATATATTCAGTTATAGAATTTATTCCTTTAAAAATAATTAAATAATTTATTCCTGCATGTGTATTCTAAAACATTCTAAAATCAAAAACCAAAAGTCAAAACATACCAAACGAAGGGAATTTCTCTGATATAGTCAGTGAAAGGAATCATTCAGCCAAAAATCTGTTCAACACATTCCAACCTCTTATGGTCTAGTACTTTGCTTTATGTTTGTATGAGCAGGAATCCATATTTTGCGTATGTATACCAGAGATGACATGAAAATGAAGTTGGGATCTTTGTGGTTAACCTGAACATATTAGAAACCAAAGAGATAATTGTGATATGCAGCCCATGGTTCTGAGTGAATGGTAGATCCAGACTGAACTAGACATTGCAAAATAGGCAACAAAATTCATGCAAGAATCATTATCAATTTCCAAATATCCACCCAGGCATAGTGGCACACAGCTGTAATCCCAGTGACTTGGGAGGATGAGGCAGGAAGATCAGAAGTTTAAAACCAGACTCAGGGACTTAGCAAGACCCTTTCTCAAAAATAAAGAAAAGAATTGGGGGCTGGGCATTGTGCCGCATGCCTATAATCCTAGCAGCTCCGGGAGATGAAGCAGGAGTTTTGCAAATTCAAAGCTAGCCTCAGAAACTTAGCAAGAACTGTCTCAAAATAAAAAATAAAAAGGGCTAGAGATGTGGCTCAGTGGTTAAGTATCCATGGGTTCAATCCCCAGTACCAAACAAATGAAACAAAACAAAACTTCCAAATAACCAATAGCTCGTTAATGAATAGTATCTATTATATCAACAACCCCTACTTCCCTCTTCAGGAATTTGATTCACAGGACAGTAACAAATTGTTCAGTTGAATGGTGGGCCATAACTTTCATAATTTGTTTTATGTGAATGCATTATACTAACTAGTTAAGATGATAATGGAGATGTACCATTGCAACAAAAAAAAGAGTATTTTATATATAGTTAATGATTTAATGTCATTTGTCAATCTGTAAAACTTTATTTGTAAATTAACCCTAAATTTTTCTTGTAATATAATTGACTATCTTATGGCTCTTTTCAAATAATAAATTTGCCTTCTGATTGTAAAATCTTCCAGAGGGCTGGGGTGTAGCTCAGTGGTAGAGTGTTTGTCCACCATGTGCAAAGTTTAGTCCCAACAACACAGAAAATACACAATTAAATAAAAGCCACAGAAATTAAGTATATCAAAAGAAAGCCATGTTTATAAAATGATGTTTTATAGAACTTAATGCCATTTTAATTTTCAGGTTCCCACTTTCCTGTTGGAATAGTTCCTCCAAGAACAAAATCACCTACACCCGAATCTTCGACAATAGCTTCATATGTAACCTTGAGGAAAACTAAGAAGATGATGGATCTAAGAACGGTATTTAACTAGAAATTAGCTTCTGGAAATTAGATTCTCAAGCGTATCTATTGTTTTCTTTTATTTTTCTATTTATAGCCTTTTATCAGAATTCTATTTAGATACTCTAAGAAAAACTTGGTAATTTTTTCAATTACATTTACAGAATTAGCACCTCAGAGGGCAGGCCTAATCAAGATATCTTTTTTTAATCAGCCTTCACATGTAGTCTCCAGTGTTATGGAATCTATTCTTTGTTGGCTGCCCTATAGTTCATCTCTTAATACTAATAAGAATTTCCTTGATAAACCTGTCAGATATATCCTGAAGCCACTCAAAATTTAATGGATTTCCTAACTATCCTGAAGTTGCAGTGCCTTTTAGCTATTGTTGAAAAATGTGAATTGGGACAGGAAAATAAATCCTATATTTTACATTTTCATGTGAGACTCCTTTCATTCAGTCTGATTCTAAACTTATGTAATATTCTCAGGAAGATGCTGAGAATTCTTAACTACGTATCTCCTAAGTATTCTCTAGAGCTCTGGATTGCAAACTTTTACTTTTTATCTTTATAAATAAGATAATTTTAGGGTATAAGACAAGACTGAGGGGCTGGGGTTTGGCCCAGTGCTAGCTAGAGTGCTTGCCTATTATGGGTGAGGCACTAGGTTTGATCCTCAGCACCACATAAAAATAAATAAAATAAATAAAAACAAAGGCATTGTGTCCACCTATAACTAAAAAAAAATTTTTTTTTAAAAAGAAAAGACTGATATATGTGGCTATTGAATGGTATTAGTGTAATGGCATATACATACATAAAGTATATGCCAAAAAAACTGATAAATTTATATACAAGGAATATAAACTAAGCATAGTAGCATTCAGTTGTAATCTTAGTGACTCAGGAACCTGGGACAGGAGTATCTCAAAATCAAGTCCAGCCTAGAAAACTTAGCAAGACCTTGTCTCTCAAAATAAAAAAAATAAAAAGGCCTGGAGATGTCACTTCAAAGTAGAACACCCCTGGATTCAATCCCTAGTATGAAAGGAAGAAAGGGAGGGAGGAAGGAGTTTCAATTAGTATAAAAATATAAAGACCTATAAAAATAATGATTATAGAATAAAAATCATAGCTATGTACCAGTATGAACATTAGTGGTCATGGTTCTACAGTAGTATTAATTAAGAGAGGGAGGGGCAATTTTTATAAATTGGAAGGGTTGGAGGTTTTTTTGTTTTTTTTAATCATAATGGTAAAATAGCAAATCAAGAGAAAAAGAAATATACAAAGCGTATTGAAAGCAAACAGAAAGATTATAGTAGATGTTGTTTTATAATTATCTTAAATACTAGAAGAAAGACTTATATTTAACCCAAATACTGGAGGAAAAAAAATATGGGAGATTATGGGTATATAACCTTGACATAGGAAACGCCTTTATAAGTGATACTATGCCAAAAGAAAATGCTTTCAATGCATTTAACAGAAAAGTTCCATAATATTTGAGACACACGTCTATAAATTGCATTTGTTGTTATTTGTGGTGCTGGGGATCAAACCCAGAACATTGTACATGGTAGGAAAGTGCTGTACCATTGAACTATATACCCAGCCCTTATAAATTTGTTGGTCTACATTTGTTTGTTTGTAATGGAAAATAATATAACAATAATATATAAACATGAAAAATGATCAACCACAATAATAATTTTTAAAATATGACTCTTTATTCTTTAGAAAGAATAAAGTAGTTATGTACAGAACTGTAACTTGGAAAAGGATGTTACAGTGTGACAACATTTTTGCATATGCATGGAAAATATTTGGGACACACATAAATTAGCTGCTACTAAAAATGATGGGAGCTGGACATGGTAGTGCAAACCTATAATCCCAGTAGCTCAGGATGCTGAGATAGAGGATCACAAGTTCAAGGCCAGCCTTAGAAACTTAACAAAACTCTGTACCAAAATAAAAAAGGGCTAGGAATGTGACTTGATGGTTAATTTAGAGAATTAGCACTCAGAGGACAGACCTAATCCAGTGGTCAAGCACCCCTGGGTTCAATCCCTAGTACAAAAAAAAATGAAAATTATAGGAAAATACTGCTAAAGTGGTTAACTTTGCAATCATCTATTCTCTTCTACACATTAAGACTTTTTGTTTACCTTTTAGGTGTTTTTTGTTTTGTTTTGTTTTGTAGCACTGGGAATTAAATCCAGAGTGGTTTACCACTGAACTACATGCTATATCTCCAGTCTTTTTTTTTTTTTTTTTTTTGAGATAGGGTCTCCCAAAATTGCTGAGGCTGGCTTTAAACTTGTGTTTCATCTGCATCAAACTTCCTAAGTTTCTGGGATTATAGGAATGCATCACTGCATCTGGCCTCTTTTTAGTTTTTTGTTTTGTTTTGTTTTGTTGTTTTGGTTTTTTTAGCTTTTTAAAACCCTTTATTTATCTAAAGTCCCAGCACTCCAAGAAACTGAGTAAGAGGATTTCAAGTTAAGAGGCCAGGCTGGGCCCAGTGGTATATTTCTGTGATACCAGCTACTGGGATACTGAGGCAGGAGGATCACAAGTTTGAGGCCAGCCTCAACATTTTAGCAAGATCATGACCAACATAGCAAGACCCTGTCGAAAATAAAAATGACTTGAATTGTGTAGCTCAGTGGTAAAGTATCCCCTGGGTTCAATCCCCAATACAAAAAAAAAAAAAAATCCACCAAGAAGTTACGAGACCACCCTGGGCAACTTAGTGAGATCCTATAACTCAAAATTTTAAAAGGTTAAATTTAAAAATTTCAGCAGGCATGGTGAAGCATGCCTGGAATCCCAGAGGCTCAGGAGGCTGAGGCAGGAAGATCATGAATTCAAAGTCAGCCTCGGCAAAGGCGAAGTGCTAAGCAACTCAGTGAGACCCTGTCTCTAAATAAAATACAAAGTACAGCTGGGGATGTGAATCTCAGTGATCAAGTACCCCTGAGTTCAATCCCCAGTACACCTCCAAAACAAAATTTAAAGAAAAGGGCTGAGGAGGTTGCTCAGCGGTTAAGCAGCCGTGGATTCAATCTCTGGTACAAAATAAATAAGAGTGGAACCACCATATGACCCAGCTATGGTCCTGCGGTAAGCTTACTCCAGAGGAGACATACCCTCTTACGTTTTAATTTTTTTCAACCAAGAAAATACATTCTCCATGCACACATACATACGTTCATGCTTCCCCTCTCACCTCCACCTTTTATCTTCCTTTTTCTCTTCCTTTCCATTATTGATCATGCATCACCAATTATCTGTTAAGGAAAAATAACTTAATCTGTATTCTGGTGTTACTCTACTGACATTCAAAACCTCTCCATTTTTTTTTTTTTCTCAGTACTGGGATTGAACCCCTGGGCACTGTACCATTGAGCTACATCCCCAGTTCTGTTTTTAATTTTATGTTGAGACAGGGTCTCACTAAGTTGCTGATACTGGCCTCAAATTTGTGATCCTCTTACCTTACCTCCCAGGTTGCTGGGATTACAGGCACGTGCCTCTGTGCCCAGCTCCAGCTTCCACTTTTGATTATGAAAACAAGATAAGTACACTGTACAATATTGTTCATCATCCTTTGCAGAAGTTACTCTGTGTTCATGTGTTTAATTTTAATTTCAAGGAAAGACCAAGAAGTGCAGTGGAACAGCTCTGTTTGGCAGAAAGTACTCGACCTAGGATGACTGTGGAAGAACAAATGGAAAGAATAAGAAGACATCAGCAAGCATGCCTAAGGGAAAAGAAGAAAGGATTAAATGTTATTGGTGCTTTAGACCAGTCACCCCTACAAAGTCCTTCTAATTTACGGGATAATCCATTCAGGATTACTCAGGTACATCAGCTGCTTTTGGTTATTCTTTCGTATAAATCTAAAAATCACTTGTATTTTAATGTCATGTGATTAATGAGTTTCTGAAGATCTACAGTACAGTTTTGGGGGGTTGTTTTTGTTTTCTGGGGGTACTGAGGATTGATCCCAGGGGTGCTCTACCACTATGCTATATCCACAGCTCTTTTTATTTTTAATTTTGAGATGGTGGTCTTGCTTAGGAACTTGCTAAGTTGCTGAGGCTATATTGTGTCTTGATCCTCCTGCCTCAGCCTCCCAAATCACTAGGATTATAGGTGCATACCACTGCACCCAGCTTAAATAGTTATTTTGTATTTTATAATTCTTATAGTAGTAAGATGAGACAACTTACTAAAATGAAAATAACACTGGGCTGAAAGAGACCAGAGCCAAAATATTCCTTGGATACCCAGATATCTGTTTGGATTTTATCTTTTTAACTGTAATCTACTGATATAACCTTAACCATATACTACACATATTTCTCTGTGTCCTAATTTATTATGAACTAAACTGTAGCAGGAAGCTGGGTACAGTGGTACACATCTGTAATTCCAGTGACTTGGAAGGCTGAGGCAGCAGGATTGCAAGTTCAAAGTCAAGCCAACTTGGGCAGCTGGCAAGACCCTGTCTCAAAAAAGGGACTGGGGACGTAGCTCAGTGGTAAAGTGCCCCTGGGTTCAATTCCCAGTACCCAAAAAATAAATAAATAAACTACAGCAGGAAAGGACTTCTAAATAGACAATCTAAGTCAGCTATTTTTCACATGTCAGTTTTAGCCTTATAAAAGTCACCATTCCATTTTCTTTGTTTCAAATTTCCCCTCTTCATAAATATGAATGGAAATGGCAATCTAGTGGTCTTTTAAGTAGCTTCTATCTGGTCTATCTCTATTAGTAGACAGTGGTCACCTATGGGTAGAGTTCCTATAGAGTGGCATAAACTAGATACATCAGCGGAAAGTGCTTCCCTGACCTAATAGACATCCACTTTCTATGTAATCAAAAATAGGCCTTGCTAATGGAAAACAAACAAACTGACAGTTGAATAATAACACATTTTACAAATTACAAAGTAGATGGTTTAAGAGATAGGCTGGGTGTGGTGATGCCTATAATCCCAGCTACTCCAGAGGCTAAGGTAGGAGGACTACATTACCAGGCCAGCCTGGGCAACTTAATTAGACCCTACCTCAAATTTAAAAAATTTTTAAAGGCTACAGATGTAACTGACTAAAGCACCCCTGGGTTCAATCCCCAGTGCTAGGGATGAAAAAGAAAATAGAAGTGGAGAAAAAAATGAATATTTCCTTTGTTGATTTTCATAGAAAACTTCCCTGTGAATAGAGTCCAGCTTTGTTTTTATTTCTGTTGTTCTGGTTAGTCTGTTTGAAAACTAACACACAATAAAATGCATGCAAGCGCAGTATGAATTTAACAGTACTATATCTTTTGGGCAGATTCGAAGGAAGGATGATAATGTTAAGGAATTGGATGCTGTTCATAGAGAAAATGATATAAAGACCAACCATGAAACTGCTGTAACAGAAAGTGTTCAACTGAAAGAAGATGATCCTCAAAATATGGATATCAGCAAAGAGGTAGAGATGATTTTAGGATTTAAGATTAGATCAAGTGGTATGATTAAATAAAGTGTTCCTTTTAGTTGTAGAAGCCATATATCTAAATGAAATTATAGGTTTTCTTTAATTGATATATAGCCACATAAAAATATATTGAAAATTTTAAATATAAATTAACTGGGCATGGGTTCATGCATCTGTAATCCCAGCTAGTCCTGAGACTGAAGTAGAAGGATCAAAAGTTTGAGGCCAGCCTGGAAAATTTAGGTAGACCCTGTCTTAAAATAAAAATGAAAACAGCTGGAGATTCCGCTTAGTGGTATGACACCCTGGGTTTAATCCCAGTAGCACCAAAAAGAAGAATCCATAGTACTAGAATAAATTGCTATTAATCCAATCAAAGAATATTGTATCCCAGCAGCTCCGTCTTAGCAGTGTGTAGAATGTTAATTTTTTAATAGAGTTAAATTTCAATTTGTTGTCAGTAAATATTCAATATAGGGTATAATTTGGGGGGATAATTTTTTAATAAGAATTTTGGAATCATTTTAAATTTTTTAAAGTCAAATGTAAGAATGCTTTGAAAAGAAAAATTTTCTTCTTATTCTGTAGTTTAAAAGAACTGAAAATGTTTTTTATGAAATGCTTTTCACACCTGAGCCAAATGGAATAAATTCTGAGGAAGCAATGGATAAAGAGAGGAACAAAGAAAAAATATCTGAGGATATTACATACAGGTAATAATTTAGAAAAACAAAGAAATTATTTATAAAACTGTATACCTGCTTACAAATGGTACACTAAAGAGTTGAAAATATTGAATTCTAGTCCCACCTTAGCTGCTTAGGAGCTATAGGATTTTGAGCAACTTACATAATCTTCTCAAGCTGCAGGCCCTTCACTGGTAAAACACCAATAGGAAAATACATTTATAGCTCTCAACACTATGCTTAGCATGCAGGGAAATAGTCACTAAACAATACCTTTAAAAAATAATGCCAGTCAGGCTTGGTGGCACAGGCCTATAAGGGAGGCTAAGGGAGAAGGGTCACAAGTTTCGTGCCAGCCTGGGCAACTTAGGAAGAACTGGTCTCAAAATAAAAAATTCAAAGGGCTAGAGATATAGGTCAGTGGTAGCACACCCCTGGGTTCAATCCCCAGTACCACAAAAAATAAGGATGTTGGGGCTGGAGTTATGGCTCAGCAGTAGAGCGCTCGCCCTGCATTTGCAAGGCCCTGGGTTCGATCCTCAGCCCCACATAAAAATAAATAAATAAATGTTAAAAAAATAAAAATAAGATAAGGATGCCAGCACTGGGTTTGTGACTCAGTGATAGAGCCACTTGCCTAGCATGTGTGAAACCCTGGGTTTGATCCCCAGCACTGCAAAATTAGTAACAATAATAATAATAATATTCTTTCCGCCATCTTTTCGTGCCACCATAATAGTGCGAATGAACGTCCTGGCTGATGCTCTCAAGAGCATCAACAATGCCAAAAAGAGAGGCAAATGCCAGGTCCTTATTAGGCCGTGCTCCAAAGTCATTGTCCGGTTCTAACTGTGATGATGAAGCATGGTTACATTGGCGAATTTGAAATCATTGATGATCACAGAGCTGGGAAAATTGTTGTCAACCTCACAGGCAGGTTAAACAAGTGTGGAGTGATAAGCCCCAGATTTAATTTACAGCTCCAAGACCTAAAAAAATGGCAGAATAATCTGCTCCCATCCCGTCAGTTTGGTTTCATTGTATTGACCACCTCTGCTGGCATCATGGACCACGAAGAAGCAAGACAAAACCACAAAGGAGGGAAAATCCTGGGATTCTTTTTCTAGGGATGTAAAACATACATATAATAAAATGCCTCAGTGGACTCTCCTTCTAAAATAATAATAATAAAATAATGTCAAATGACAGCTTAAGCTATAGCAAAGTAAGTACCTCAACACTCCCTGTGAAATGATAGACACTAATCAGAAGACTAGGTTATCTGAGAGTCCCAAAGACAATGGTGATTATCTTTAATTTTTTGGCAACATTCCTTAACTTGCCCCTTTATATTTTTTGGAGAGAGGGTCTTGCTAAGGTTGGCCTTGAACTTGCAGTCCTCTGCATTAGCCTCCAGTGTCACTGGGGTTACAGGTGTATATGCCACTGCACCTGGCAATAGCTATACCTTTATTTCTTCAATGCCTAGCAAGATTGAATTTGAAAAGTGTTTGGCCATGTCTGCTAAGAAAAGTATCTGTGCCAAGTCAGGCATAGTGATGCATGCTAAAGCAGGAGAATTGCAAGTTCAAGACCAGTCTCACAACATAGCAAGACCCTGTCTCAAAATAAAAAAGGGCTGGGGATGTGGCCCAGTGGTAAATCCCTCTAGATTCAATCCCCAGAGGGAAAAAACAAGTTTGGAGATTGGGGGATTTAAATGAAACAAGATTGGCAAAGTATAGGTAATTATTAAACTTGAAGTAGCAGGTTTGATATTATTTGCTCTAATCTTTTTATGTTTGGAGTTTCCTAGAAAGAAAAAAAAAAAGAAATGAGATGAGTTACAAATGTTAACATTTGTTAAATATATCTAAGTGGTGACATCCTGTCTGAGTAGTTAGAATTTCTCAATAAGAAACTGGAAGAAATTAATTGTATTCTAAGTAAATTATAAAATAACAATCTGTTTCCATTAGCTCTCAAGATGAGACACAGATCACAAATCATAAGCCAGAAGCCCATACTGAAGAAGATACAAAGAACAATATTCATGAGCAGGAAGAAACTGTTATTTCATATGAACCAACTCCGGAGCTTTCTAGAGAAAATGAAACAATGGCAGGTAGATACTACATGTTTTATGATTTTCTTACCTATATCACTTAGAAAGCAAAGTGCATAGGAGTTCTAATTTTTTTAATTGTCACTGGCCACTTGGATATTGTATGACAGGTCTGATTCAAAGTGGTATGAACTTCTAAACTTGTTTTGCTGAACTTCTAAATTTATTTTTCCATATGGATATTGTAACAAGGGAGCCACTCAAGAACAGTGACTGCAGATTAATGAACCTTTTCCTTCCCACTTGCATATTCGTGAAGGGTGTATTTGGACAAAGGAAGAAAGGTAACCCCTGCCACTGAGTCTGCTCTGGCTTAAGAATTGGCTCATTGATTTGATTTTAGTTTTTAATCATAATATATGGTAAGCTTTTTCTAATGAGAAGATCCTTCAGTACTTAAAATTTACCTATTCTGAGGACTAGTCTCTGAGAGTTAACAAACTTGACACTTTGGGGAATGTGGACAATTATACATTTAAAGCAGTAGAATGGATGTGTTTACTCTAGCCCCAACCATAATCCACATCTGGATTTTTTTCTGATAGTAGAAAATCATCATTCATATTATATTACAAAATAAATCATTTTTTCTATACTATATGCTCCCATTCCCTCCCTCCCTCCCTCCCCACCTTCTCTCTCTTAGTGGAGATGGGGTGCAGTGGTGGGGTTTAAACCCAAGTGCCTTGAGCATGATAGGCAAGCAATGAGCTGTTTACCAGTAAGCCACATCTTGACGCTGCCATTATATTTTTTAGACTCTTCATAAATATTTTTTTCTTTCTTTTCCTTCGTTATGGTTTCTAGAGGGTGAGAGTATAGGGTAGGATCATAGCACTAGTGAATATTTTTAACTTTCTATCTTTACTTCATAACAAAGAAAATCATTCTTTATAATCCTCCTCTCCGTAACTCCTACCCTTTTGTGGAAAGATAAGAATAATGTAATTCAGGACTATTCTTCCTAGGAAAAGTATAAAATTCTGGGCAGAGCATTTTTTCTTTTATATACATAGAACATGCATATGTATGTCATCAGTCCTGTTCCCTTGTAACAAATATTAACCACTGTCTCCTTTACCTTTACTACTTAAAAGACAACATGCACAAGAGTTGTACTTTTGTAATTGTTACTGACCACTTGGTTATTGGGTAGCAGGCCTGATTCAGAAAATTAAACCTATAACTTTTTAAGTCTCTGTAGTATCTAGCTACATGAACTAGAAAAGACTCAACAGAACCCATGGACAGACACCTGAAATCTAACCTCACAAGAAAAAGAATGAATTTTAAACTAGGCTGCAGGAGACATTTTATACTGAATATTCCAGTTGCCTTATTAGAAAATCATAACAGAACCCACAAACAGTTATTACTTCCTCCCCAGTAAATGTTCTGATAGTTGTGGGATCACAGCATCAAGATTTACTTCTCCAAATGTGTTTTAAAGATACTTATTTTCTCATATGTTTTCTTGGTGTGTTTTAGTGAAAAGTCTGTCCCCGTCTCCTGAGTCCTCAGCATCGCCAGTTCCATCCACTCAGCCGCAGCTCACAGAAGGATCACATTTCATGTGTGTGTAGTCTCAGAAGTATGTCATTTCCCTTCATATTAGTGGTTTACTGTTAAAGAGTGTTTTACATGAATTTTATTCATCTGTTGTTTTGTAAAAAATATTTGGGATTAATTCTGGACTCTACATTAGGGATAATTAGCAGAAAAAGAGGCCATGTGTTTAAACCATGGCCAGTAACTCGGATTTTGAACATTGCCCCCTTCTAATAATTTGCTTTGTGACAGCATTTTCTCTCTTATTTTATCATCCATAAAAGCAGCAAAATTTGGAGGGAATGGTCTGTGCCAAAACAAGCTTCACAGTATCATGCAGCTGTGCTCCTACGGAACATTCCTTTGCATAGTCACATCTGAGAATGCTGTTAAGGAATTACATGTCGATCGTGTAATGTTTTTTAATTAATGCGGCATATCTACCTAATTGGAATTTGTTAATTATTTTAAGCACAAAAATTGTTTATGATTCAGCCAACTTGATAGAATTTTAAGACCTATTAAATCTAGTTGAGATCTATTAGAAATTATTTCTAAATAATGAATTAATTTAAATCAAGGTAGCAACTGAAAAAGCCACAGATGGGGATAGGGAGAAGGAGGAAACCTTTCTTAAACAATGTTCCTAAATTTTTTTTTATCTTTATAGACAGTTACTATATTATATGTATAATTATACAAAATTATACAAACAGACATTTTTTTCTTCGGTAAAACTGTGAGATACAGAGTGAGCATCTTAGCTTTATCTTTTTTCTCACAGTATATACCATGTCTAGTAATTTTTGGTGCTTTAAAATTACCACCAATTTCTGTTAACCAGTTATAAGCATCAAAAACAGACATTCTGAGCATTATTATCAACATCTTCTTTGAATTTTAGATTCTCAAAATAAATTATTACATTTACTTACTTGCCTAAGTCAATCCAGTGCTTATTTTCTGGAACCTACTTCCATTTATGATTTTAATTAAAGCAGCTTTAATCTTTCTCCCTTTTTTTCTCCTTTTCTTTAAATATTTGTTTAGTTGTAGATGGACACGATACCTTTGCTTTATTTTTATGTGGTGTGGGGGATTGAACCCAGTGCATGCTAGGCAAGCGCTCTACCACTGAGCCACAGCCCTGTCCTTTTTTTCAACCAGAAAAATTTATGTTGTCTTATCATGTTTAAAATTTTTATTTGCGATTGTGTTTACCTAGAGCCTAGAAGAGCCTTTTGTTTGTTGTCTGGCTGTGCAGGTTTCAAGTGCTTGCTGAAATTACAGATGGCCTAGGTCTTGCCTCATTCCCTCACAATTTTTTTTTTATTGGTTGCTCAAAACATTACAATGATCTTAACATATCATATATCATACATTTGATTCAAATGGGGTATGAATTCTTATTTTTCCCACGTGTACAGATTGCAGGATCACATTGGTTATACAGCCACGTTTATACATACTGCCATACTAGTGTCTGTTGTATTCTGCCCTTCCTATCCCCCCTCCCCCCCATCATTTCTCTCTACCCCATCTACTGTAATTCATTTCTCTCTCTTTTTTGCCCCCCTTTCTCCTCACATCCTCTTATATGTAATTTTGTATAACAATGAGGGTCTCCTTCCATCTTCCGTGCAATTCCCCATCTCTCTCCCATTCCCTCCCACCTCTTGTCCCTGCTTAATGGTAATCATCTTCTTATGCTCTTCCTCTCTTCCCCATTTTCAGTCACCCCTCTTATATCAAAGAAGACATTCGGCCTTTGTTTTTTGGGGATTGGCTAACTTCACGTAGCATAATCTGCTCTAATGCCATCCATTTCCCTGAAAATGCCATGATTTTGTTACTTTTTAGTGCCACGTAATATTCCATTGTGTATAAATGCCACATTTTTTTTATCCATTCATCTATTGAAGGGCATCTAGGTTGGTTCCACAGTCTAGCTATTGTGAATTGTGCTGCTATGAACATTGATTTAGCTGTATCCCTGTAGTATGCTCTTTTTAGGTGTTTTGGGAATAGTCCTAGAAGGGGAATAGCTGGGTCGAATGGTGGTTCCATTCCCAGCTTTCCAAGGAATCTCCATACTGCTTTCCAAATTGGCCGCACCAATTTGCAGTCCCACCAGCAACGTACAAGTGTACCCTTTTCCCCACATCCTCGCCAGCATTTGTTGTTGTTTGACTTCATAATGGCTTCTTACTGGAGTGAGATGGTATCTTAGAGTGGTTTTAATTTGCATTTCTCTGATTGCTAGAGATGGTGAGCATTTTTTTATATATTTGTTGATTGATTATATATCCTTCTTTGAGAAGTGTCTGCTCAGATCCTTGGCCCATTTGTTGATTGGATTATTTGTTTTCTTATTGTTTACAAATTTTTAACTTAAACTTTAGAATTAAAGCAACTGGTGGCAGAATAAAATCTGACAAAGGAAAAATTAACATGATGTTCACTTAATTTCTTCAACATAAAGAGTTAGTAGGTGGTATCTATGTATCTTAGTAAAGAAATGTGCATTAAGAGCCATTCATATTATTTTTTGATTTTATGAACAGGTTACATTTCATTTTATACAGACCTTTTTGATAATAAAGAATGTTCAGAGTTAAAACTCCAGTACATTTCCAAGTTCCTGGAGTTGTTACTGCATTTTATTTTGTTTAATTTTTATCCCAAGAGCCTGTGGCATTACATACTAGAATGAGGCACAACTGTTGCCAGATACCTTCTGGTGTCTTTGTCATGCAGCTACCACAAACAACTAGTGGCACAAAAACTCATATAGTACTTTATGTTCTCCCATTGTACATAAGTCATCTTTCTGAACTACTCATTTTGGCAAGACTCAGAAAGCTTTACAAATGATATTGCTATATAGATGGCTCAATATATTATTACATTTTTTATGAAAGTTATGCAAACCTTTGTTTATTTTGTCGATCTTTGGATTCAGCAACAAATGTGGATACATTTTTTTTATTTTGAATTGCTTTAATTGCATTATGTTTTTTCACTGTGTGAATTAGGCTTATGGAAATAAAGAAAAATGGCCTTTAACTGTATTATGTTTTAGAATTTTCATGGCCATGCTTGTCAGTTCTATTATATCCTTGTGAGGTACTTTGGGACATGGTCATTCATCAGCTTTGCAGGTGTCAAAGTAATTTCCCCTTTCTTATTTTTCAGCTATACTGACTTCTGTTGAAACCAGTCACAGCTAAAGACGTGGACCTTTGGCAATGTAAGAAGATATTGTACAGTATATTTTAAATCTATGAAATTCATAGTTTTTGATGCTTTCAACCACAGAGCATCATTTTACCACTTCTGGAAAATGTTTATTCCAAAACAGCTTTAATGGCCCATATGTACACTCCATAATCTCAAGGTTATCATTCTGACACCAGCTTGCTGCTATGATTTCAGAGCACATAAGTAAAGGTGCTTTTTAATGTGCAGTCTATAGAAAGAGCTTACTTAGTTGCTGATTTTCAGATTTTGATGTTTCTTAAGTCTAAGTGAATTTATATTTCTTTTTGCTTTTCAGTACATAAAGTTACTTATTATTTCAAGTGAGACTTGCTTTTCTTTCTTTTTCCTTTTTTTTTTCCTTTCTTTCTGATTTTGGATACTGCAATGCTTTGTTTCACACTTGATTTGTAAAAATTTTATATATATATATATTTAAAATATACCATTTTATTATTGCTAAGTAAAGTATGTCCTGTTTTCTGCTATAATTCTTTCTCAGTCAGATTGCAATGTCAGCAGTTACTGCCACACTCTTGTCAGCTTAAACACAAATGTTATCGCTTACCTTTTCTTAAAAAAAAAAAAATTTAAAAGTGTAGGTATTTTGAAGTACTGGACTTATACTTCATTGGAATAGATGTGTATAGCAATAAGCAGGTTTCCAAATCCAGTACTTAGTTTGTGTACAAATGTAATTATGTTCATTGTGTATATATTATGCAATGAGCACTTGTAATGTATTAAAGGCTACTTCCTATTGTTTAAATGCAAATGTTCATATCTCATTTCTTTTTTATCATGTTAAATAAATGTTGATGTTCTTAAGTTACTTGTGTTAGAATTTTTTTTTTCCACTAAAATGAAAAGTCTTGAGAGTTGGGGATGCCGCTCAGAGTAAAGCACTTTGCCTATCATGCACAAGGCCCTGGGTTCAATCCACAGCACCAGAAAGAGATGGTGGGGGGGAGTCTTGAGATTTAAGAGACTTCTCAAAGAAAAAGTAGTCTTTTAATCTTATTATCCTAGACAGTATCATAAAAGGACCTTGTCTGTCCAGCCTTCCCATGTCAAAATTGAGGGAACTTGATGCCCAAAGTGATAAATTGGCTTGCTGGCCATAACCATGTTACAATTATTGACAGGATTTGGGGCAACATAATTTTTCTTACTTTTCCTCCTAAATCTTTCAGCTCATCACCAATGGGCAAATTTATATTTATGAATTCTTCTACAATATTTCCATTTGTTTCCAAGTTTTAAAAAGTGATTTTAAGCATCTATCTCTAGGCCTTCTCTGCTTAGGGACTGGACTTTGAGAAGGGTCTGTAGAGTAGAAAGGGCTATTTCTCTGACACGGGTAATTAGAAACCGTTTCATCATAAGTGAGACTCAGAGATCTTTTCTCTTACAATGCATTCTTTGCAGATATTCACGCTCTTCAGAATCAATTACATTTTCTTTCCTTTGTAACCTTTTATGCATGCTTTATATTGTTCCCAGAGTACAAGGAAATTTGATGCTTCTGGATTCCTGTATGGAGTGGCTCAAAACAAATTGGCACTGGTCAGTCTCCACTCTCCACCCCCACTTCATGTTATACTAAAGAGGATTTAGATTTGATACAAAATGCAGATGTATAAAAATTTATCTGCTCCTAAAGGAAACATTCAAGATGAAATGCAAATAGTCTAGATTGCAGGAGATAAATGGAAACAGAATGAAAGGAGAATGTTTACTTTTCTTATTATTAAAAGGTATATATATATAAAGAAGTCTTCTCAGATTATTATTTTCCCTTAATCTTGGTGCGCTTTGGGGGGGGGGTATTATTTCCCCTTTATCATAATATAATTATTTTTAACAGGTCTTCTGTCAGTTTGTTGAGATTTTCTGATATTCTTTGGGTTTTTTGTGGGGGCTTTGTTTTATCTTTGAGGATGTGTCTGTGTATTGTCTTTTGTTTTATTAAACACAACTTTTTGTGTAGTTTGTAGTACTAGGGATTAAACCCAGGGCTTCATGAATGCTAGTCAAGCACACTACCATTCGTCTCCAAACATTCTGTAATTATTTCAAGAAGGAAATATATATATACATATTCCTTATTAGGATCCCTGGCATACTAGAGAATTTGGAAAAAGCAGTATGAAATAGTTGTTACTCTTTTGTTTCTCTCCACCCCATTCCTCGTACTAGGGATTGAACCCAAGGGCACTTTACCACTGAGCTACATTCCAAGCCCTTTTTTTATATTTTGAGATAGGGTCTCACTAAATTGCCAAGTCTGGCCTCAAGCTTGCGATCCTTCTGCTCAGCCTTCCAAGTTGATACTGTGACTCTTTGCAACATTTCAGAAAGACAGATGAAAGTACCAACAATAGGCTAGTGTGGTAATGTATACCTGTAATCCAAGCAGCTCAGGAGGCTGAGGCATGAGGATCATGAGTTCAAAGCCAGCCTGAGCAAAATCGAAGCACTAAGCAACTCAGTGAGACCCTGTCTCTAAATAAAATACAAAATAGGGCTGGGGATGTGGCTCAGTGGTCAAGTACGCCTGAGTTCAATCCTCATACGCAAAAAAAGAAAGAAAACAAAATGTTCTTGGGTTGCGCCTATAACTTGCTGTTAACTGTGCTTGCCTAGTATGCCAGAGAGAAAGCCCTACATTAATCCCCAACACTATTACAAAGAAAAAATTTTTATTTGCCCTCTGATCACAAAATCATCTGCTAAAAATAGATCCATTATGCTGAATGCACACCAGTAATCCAAGCTACTCAGGAAGCTGAGGCAGGAGGATTTCAAGTTCAAGGCTAACTTGGTCAATTTACTAAGTCCCATTTTCAAAATAAAAATAAAAAGAGTGGCAGATGTAGTTCAGTGGAGGTTAAACTAACCCTCAGTTTAACCTCCAGTACCTAAAAAAATGGGGACCTGTTATTACAGGTCACTCTGGAGTAGTACCCATGGAAAAAATATCCTACATATCCAAACTACCATATTATTTGAAATGTGTGATTTATATGTATTGGCTTGTAAGAAATCGTGTTCTCTGCCTATTAAACTATCTAGTTCTACCAAACATGAAAGAATGATTCCTCTCTTTGTGTTTAAAGTAGCAACTATTTGTCTAAAAACTTGTCCAGTATATGCATTAAGTGGCAGATGCTGAAGGATCCGAAGCTTTTCTTTTTAAAAGAAGTTACATACCTCACCTTGAACTTTTCCAAGTGTTTTTGGGCAACTGGGAACAGGACAACAAGTGGGCCCGAGGTAGGCCTGTAGTGTCCTACTGGAAAATGACAGGGACATAATGCAATTACATTTCAAACCAGTTGGCTTCTAGTCATATCCCAAAAAACTGTCCACAGCAGATAAGGGAATCAATTGGTTGTAGTAAGATCCTTTACTTGAAGTAACTGCTTCTAATAAAACCCCCTAACTTGAAATTTACAGAAGAAGTAATATAAACATTTAATAAACATCTGAACAGATGCTCATTATCTGTGGTTATCAAAGATATGCAAATTGAAATGAGATATCCTATTTTGCTCTCGGGATTAGAAAATATTAAGGAGAGTAATAATGCCCAGAGTAAGCAGGGTGTAGGAAAAGAGATATATTTACATGGGATTGGTATGAATATAAATAGATAAAACCTTTCAAAAGCCTTAAAAATGCATACTCATTGACCTAGCAATTCTACTTGGAGGAATTTATCTCAAAGGAATAATCAAATGAGTATCCAGACACGTTTTTGTAGTTTGGTTGTGTTTAGTTGTGGGTTTTTTTTTTTTTTTTGGTGGGGGGGGGGCGAGTACCAGGGATTGAACTCTGGCACTTGACCACTGAGCCACATCCCCAGCCCAATTTTGTATTTTATTTAGAGACAGGGTCTCACTGAGTTGCTCAGTGCCTCGCTGTTGCTGAGGCTTTCTTCGAACTCACAATCCTCCTGCCTCAGCCACCCAAGCCACTGGGATTACAGGCATACACCACCGCACCCAGCCTAGTTATTTTTTTTTAATAGTTGAAATATAGGATCTATTTATCATTTATCTTATGCTATAAGAAGTCTAACAATGAGGAGCTACACATGACAAATGCCTCTAATCCCAACTGTACAGGAGAGTGAGGCAAGAGGATCACAAGTTCAAGAACTGCCTGAGCAATTTAGCACCACCCTGTCTCTAAATAAGATTCTAATGGCACACGCCTATAATTCCAGTGTTTTGGGAGGCTGAGGCAGGAGGATCACGAGTTCAAAGTGAGCCTCGGCAAAAGCAAGGCACTGAGCAACTCAGTGAGACCCTGTCTCTAAATAAAATACAAAATAGGGTTGGGGATGTGGCTCAGTGGTCAAGGACCTTTGACTTCAATACCCATTTGCAAAAAAAAAAAAAAGATTTTAAAAAGCGGGCTGGGATTGTGGCTCAGCAGTAGAGCGCTCACCTAGCACGGTCCTGGGTCCTGGGTTTCATCCTCAGCACCACATAAAAATAAATAAAATAATGGTATTTTCTCCAACTACAACTAAAAAATAAATATTAAAAAAAAAGATTTTAAAAAGTACTGGAGTTATAACTTAGAGGTAGAGAGTGCTTGCCTACCACACTTATGGCCCTAGGTTTAATTTCCCTCATCAAAAAGAAAAGAAGAAGTCTACCAGGGAGGAGTCCAGAGCTCTCTGGAGACTCAGGGATGTTATGAAGAAACTGTATCCCTTTCTGCTCTGCTATCAGCAAAGACAACTTCATCTCAAGGCATTATCAACTGTTTGCATTTATGCCTCTGTCATTAAATGAAATATATTTTTAGTCTTTTCCTGTTTCCTGATATAAAGCTGCTAAAATCTTTAGCATGTTCAGACTAAAAGCCAGTCATGGTAGCACAGACCTGGAGGCCCAGCTACTCAGGAAGCTGAGGCAAGACAATCCCCATGTTCAAGGCCAGCCTAGACAACTAAACTTCTGTCTCAAAATAAAATTAAATTTTAGAAAGGGCTGGTGGCATGGTTTAGTGCTTGCCCAGCATATGCAAGGCCCTGAGTTCAGTTTCCAGTACTGAAAAAAAAAATTAAAAATAAAAACAGGATTTGGGTGAATTCCCAGATACCTGAGCTTGTGGAGGTTCCTACATGTGGCCTGCCTAGAGAGGGATGGAAGCGCAGCCCCTTCCCATATACCTCTCCCTATGCACATCCTCATCTGGCTGTTCATCTGTGTGTTTTATGATACCTTTACAATAAACCAGCAGACATGTTTCCCTGAGTTTCTATTCATCAAACCCAAGGAAGGAGTGGTGGGACCTGGTTTTAGC